CCTGTAGATCCAAGGAGGGCTCTTCTACTGCACACTCAGCAAACAACTGGTTCCATGTCTGCACATGAGAACCAGACAATGGTTGATGACCTATTGGCCCTGTTTGATAAGACCAATATTAAGCCCATCCAGTCAAGGAAAGTTATGGAAGAGACTTAGGTAAGAAAAGTACAATGTGGTCCTTCTGTAACTCCTCAAAAACAAACAACTGTAAATAACATGTGTCATTTTATAGAGCTCATATACTTCAAGAAAGATACGAGGAGGGAATAACTGTAAATCCTGCGTTTGAGTACACAAAAATGAGGGAATATCCTCCAAACCCAATCTTTAATTATAATCCAAATGACTTAGGACCAAGACCTACGGGCAACCACGACCACAAGTGTATGATAATTATGAATTTGATAGGCCTGCAGTAGGCCATTATGATATGGTAGACCGAAGACACATGCAATTTAATCAAGTTAGGCCTTAGAATGTGCAAAACCATACCATGCAACAACCATACTATGAGCCTAATATGATGAACCTAAGGCCTAGAGGCCGTGGTCCTCCTCTTCTTTACTTCCAACCAAAAGTTCAATGAGGAGTACAACAGCAACAATATATGGATCCTATGATGAACAATAGGCAGCAGATAATGAATTTAATTCAAGAAATGTATGGCCTAGGTTTGAGAAGGCTAGACAAACCTATGTTTAGGAGTTCATACCCTCCAGATGTGGATAATGCACCTCTCCCAAGGAACTTCAAAGTGCTTGAATTCTCCTTGTTTACAGGAGAAGAGGGTAGTCCAATAGTGAACACATAGGAATATTTGTTCTACAATGTGGATAAGTAAGGCAAAATGAAATTCTAAAAATGAAACCGTTCCCAAATTCATTATCTATGACTGCATTTACTTGGTTCATTAACTTGCCAGAAAATTTTATACATACTTGGCAAGAAATGAAGAGTCAGTTTCATGCTCAGTTCTTTAGAATTGAACCTGAAGTTACTCTGTTAGATGTGTCTAAGAATTTAAACAAAAACAAGGGGAAACAGTAGAACAATATATAGACAGGATTAAGAGAGCAAAAAATTGGTGTTATGCATATATCCCTGAAATAGAAGTCATAAGATTGGCTCAAAATAGGTTAGATTTTGAATTAAGAAAGAAATTTGAAAGAATAATGTTTAGAGACTTGAATGAATTCTCTTCAAGGACAACTAGTTATGAGTCAATTCTAAGAGAGGAACAACAAAGAAAAGCAACTTCACTTGGTACCTATTACCAATAAGTTGAGTTTGATTTTGATGTCGATATTGATGTAGCACAAGTAGTTGGAAAAACGCCTATGGTTTGTAAGACCTTGAGAAAGGTTGAGAAGCCTGTGGATATGCCATCAACACAGCTAGTAAAAAGAAAGGTGGCTGCATCTAGTCAATAATATTCATTTGACTTGTCACAAGCAGATGTTTTGTTTGATAAGTTATTGGCCAACAAGTTTTGACTTTAACTCCTAGCCATAACATTCCCAAAGAAAGAGATAGAATTGGAAAAGAATATTGCAAATGGCACAATTTTTTCAGACATTCAACTAATAATTGTGTTACATTTCAAAATTATGTGCAAGATTTGATTCAAAACGGTATGCTGAAGTATGTTGAGAAAGATAAAAGGGTAATGGTAGTCGACAATGATCCCTTCTCAAAGATGGTAGGCATTAACATGGTGGCTACTGGCCTCTAGTCGGCTGACTAGAAAAATAAAGGAAGGAACCCTAGAGTTCTCTTGGTAGAGTTTGAGAAGCTCCATAAGGAAAGAATGGAAAAGATTGCCAAGGAGGCAAAGGAAAAGAGGATTCAAGAAGAGCCTGATGAAAGATTCATTTGTTTTAGATGTGGCACTAAAATAGAAAAAGCCAAAGCCATTGTGATGGATGGAATTCAAAAAATAGGAAAGGATGTTGGTCTCAAGTTCAATACCATGGAAGGTGGTGACCTGTAAATATTTGACAATGACCACATGTTCTATGATGGATCAGACCCAAGAATATTTGGGCTTGCAGAGGATTATGGTAAGGATGATGCTCCATTCTTATTTCAAGGAGCTCATGTTCATCCATGTTTTGGTGGCTCAAGCAACATTAGGTCCCTGCTAAAATAGCAAAAGAGGTCTAAGCCCTATGGAAATCCAAAAATATTAACAAGGCCATACATTGACCAGCAACAACAGCAACCTGTGAAGTCACATATTGGCCAGCAGTTTACTGGAAGGCCATATGGACGCCAATAACAATTTGTGAGACCATATTAGAAATTGTAGCATAGTAGCCCAAAGTTGAGGCTAGATATACAGCCAAAAATGGTGAAACCACTAGTGCCACCTAACTTAGGATGGCACGGGGTTGTTCACCCAAAGTTTCCTTTATGAGGATAAAGACAAATGGAACCCTACTAGAACTCAGAAAAGAAGGGAACAGAGAAGGTTTCATGCCATGATGTCTAGAATGGCAGGTGATGGAGGTCCAATGAATTTGGTATAGACTAAGGAAGGGTTTGTACCACCAAAATCAGTAGTGGGTTTAACTTTAAAGGAGCAGATAGCCCAATCACCTATACAGCTACTGAGGAAACCAATGGTGGACGAGGAGAAGAAAGAAGGAAAGACTTTGCCTGACAAAGCAATACTGAGGTTGAGATTGAAAAAGTTAGAGAAAGAATTAATGTATGATGATGAAGATGGTATGGTTAACATTGAAATGAAAGATCAAAAAGGTGCAAAGTCAACTATAGGAGAAAGTAGTGTTGTTGTAAAAGAAGATGCTAAGTCAGAAAGTTCAGAAGAGTTTGATAAGAAAATAGAAGCCATTCAGTTTGGTTCTTTGCATGCTTCCAAGGAATGCAATATGATTATGGCCATCCCAAAGAGGTTTCAAGCCGAACCAGACTAGCCAGATATGTTGCCAGGTGATGTTGAAGATGGACAGAACCAGTTGTGCAAATAGCAATGACTGAGGCAGAAGTCAACCACCAAGGTTTATTAAGGTGCTTAAGTTAGTCGATGGTAAAAAAGTGGTGCTGCAAAAGCTTGAAGAAAAGCTGATCAGGCACTTAAGGCCATTGTATGTAAAGGCCCATCTAGATGGGGTCCTAGTTGACATAATGCTGGTTGACAATAGAGCCATAGTCAACATTCTCTCTTCCAAGACTCTAAGAGCTATAGGCAAGTCAGTAGAGGACTTGTTGCCTACTGATATTAATATAAGTAACTTCGCTGGAGGCTCATTTGAGGCAAGAGGAGTTGTTGCTATACAACTTCAAGTTGGTTCAAAGCTAATGAGAACCACATTTTTTTATAATTGACTCTACTTCTAATTACAATGTGTTATTAGATAGAGACTGGATACACCTCAATGGGTGTGTGACATCCTCTTTGTATCAAGTTTTGATATTCTTGACTAATAATGAACAGGATGAACATAAACGAATGGAGATCTATTGGGCAGATGCCAATCTTTTTGCTGCAAATGACAGCAGCATAGAGGATGTGTTATATGATGAAGACATAGGCCTAGTTGAGGTGGCTGAGGATGAGGGCAAGGCCCAAGGAAAGAGCCTAACCAATGAAGAGTTCAAGAGCATCATAGAAAAAGGATTCAAACAGATAGGCTAGGAATTGGCCAAACCGAACCTAATGCCGAAACAGAAGGGGTTTGTGATTGGAGAAATGACAAAAGGAGTGGATGATGCAAATGCAAACATGTGAGGAACAAACTGGATGAGACAGCTGCAACTCCTGTAAATAGATATATTTTTTTCTAGACTTTTTAATTTCTTTTTAGCAAGTAGGTTTAATTTTAAGTATGTGCTTGATTGTTCATGGGCAGAATGTGTAATAGAGAATAGACCTCTGAGTTATAAAGAGGTGCAGTTGGAGCATTTGAGAGTTTCTCTTGCTAAGCTTGATGATCTCAAGGAAGATGTTCAAGACCCTTTGAAGGAATTCAACTTAGGACATAGGCCTAGTTGAGGTGGCTGAGGATGAGGTCAAGGCCCAAGGAAAGAGCCTAACCAATGAAGAGTTCAAGAGCATCATAGAAAAAAGATTCAAACAGATAGGCCAGGAATTGGCCAAACCGAGCCTAATGCCGAAACAGAAGGGGTTTGTGATTGGAGAAATGACAAAAGGAGTGGATGATGCAAATGCAAACATGTGAGGAACAAACTGGATGAGACAGCTGTAACTCCTGTAAATAGATATATTTTTTTCTAGACTTTTTAATTTCTTTTTAGCAAGTAGGTTTAATTTTAAGTATGTGCTTGATTGTTCATGGGCAGAATGTGTAATAGAGAATAGACCTCTGAGTTATAAAGAGGTGCAGTTGGAGCATTTGAGAGTTTCTCTTGCTAAGCTTGATGATCTCAAGGAAGATGTTCAAGACCCTTTGAAGGAATTCAACTTAGGAACCGAGGTTTGGAAAAGGCCAACCTATGTAAATGCTAGCTCATCTAATAAAAGTAAAGGAAAACTTGTTGGTTTGCTATATGAATATGTGGATTGTTTTTCTTGTAGTTACGAAGAAGTGCCTAGTTTGGATAGAACATTAGTAGAACACAGATTGCCAATAAATGAAAATTTCATTCTACATAAGCAACCTTCAAGACGAATGACTAATGAAGTGACTTTGTTAGTTAAAGAAGAAATTGAGAGGTTATTAAAGGCAGGTTTTATCAGGACAACTAGGATGTTGAATGGTTGTTAAATATTGTGCCTGTTATGGAAAAATGGAAAATTGAGAGTATGTATAGATTTCAGGAACTTAAATCTAGCTGCTCCAAAGGATGAGTATCCTATGCCAGTGGCTGACTTGTTAGTTGATTCAGCAGCCAAGAGCATGGTCTTATCCTTCATGGATGGGCCTGCTTTTAACCATATTTTCATTAACCCAGAAGACATCCATAAGACTACTTTTAGATGTCCTGGAGCCTTAGACACATTTGAATGAGTAGTGATGCCTTTTGGTTTGAAAAATGTTGGAGCCACATATCAAAGAGCAATGAATTTCATATTCCATGATTTAATTGGAAGGTTTCTAGAGGTATACATTGATGATGTGGCTGTCAAATCTGATACAATTGAGGAACATTTAACTCATCTAAGGCAGACATTTCAAAGACTGAGGAGTCATCAGTTAAAGATGAACCCTTTGAAATGTGCCTTTGTGGTGACTGTAGGTAAATTCTTAGGATTTTTGTTGCATCACAAAGGCATAGAAGTAGATGCTAATAAAGCCAAGGCTATTTTGGAAGCCAAACCCCCAAGCAACAAGAAAGAATTGTAGAGTTTTATAGGCAAAATCAATTTCTTAAGAAGGTTTATAGCAAATTTAGCTAAAAAAAACTCTAGTATTTTCTTCCTTGGTAAAAATAAAGTCAGATTGTGAGTTTAGGTGGGAGGAATATCACTAAAAAGCTTTTGATTTGATCAAGAGTTACTTGGCCAATCTCCTAGTTCTAATGCCACCTATCTCAAGAAATCCTTCGAAACTTTACATTTTAGCATGTAACTTGTCGATTGGATGTTTGCTGGCCCAAGAAAATGACATGGGCTATGAACAAGCCATCTATTACTTAAGCAAAAGGTTGAATGTTACTAAAACTAGGTATACCTCTATCGAGAAGTTGTGTTCGGCTTTGTACTTTGCTACCATTAAACTTAGGCATTATATGTTACATTTAGAACTATTTGTTATAGTACAAATTGATGTCATAAAATACATGTTGTCTAAGTCTATTTTAAGAGGCATACAAGGCAAGTGGATTTTGTCCTTAATTGAATATTGTTTCAAGTATATGCCACAAGAGACGGTAAAAGGACAGGCTCTAGCAGATTTTATAGTAGGGCATCCATGCTTGCCAGTTGAACCAGAACTGTTTGAGGTGCATATGATAGAAACTGAGCCTTGGAGGCTAATATTTGATAGATCTAGAACAGATGAGGGGGTTGGTGCATGCATTGTCCTGATCTCTCCTGACAAATAAATATACTAGTTTGCTTATTAGTTAGATGAGAAACATATACTGTCTTGTAACCAAGCTAAGTATGAAGCCTTGATAATTGGTCTAGAGTTGGCTATAGAGTTCAAGATTTGAAGGTTACAAGTATTTGGTGATTCTTAGTTGGTTATCAAACATATTGAGGAAGTGTTTAAGTGTGTGAATAGAACTCTAGAAGAATATTTAATTGAGGTCAAGTGGTTAATAAGCTTCTTTGATCATGTATCCTTCACGCACATGTATAGGATAGAAAATAAGGAGACCAGTGAAATGGCTCAAACTACATCAAGGTTGAAAATTCCTATGGGGAGCCTAAGAGAGAATCATAAGGATTCAAAGAAGGAATTTCTTGGCCTTTAGGGATAGACACATGAATTTCTTGCCAATAATGAATTTAGAAGTATCTGAAAATGATTGGAGGTTCCCTTTAATCAAATACTTGTCTAATCCTAATGAAGTATGTGATAGATAAGTAAAGTACCAGGCCCTAAACTATGTCATTATGGGTGATGATTTGTTCAAAAAGCACATGATGGGTTAACTTTGTTAGGCATTAGCTAAGAAGATCAAATAACGGCAATGGAAGCAGCACATGAAGGCATTTGTGGAGCCCATCAGATTAGGGATAAGATGAGATGGCTAATTAATAGGTATGGCTATTTTTGGCCATCCATAAGAAAGGATTGCATTACATATGCTAAGGGATGCAAAAGTTGCCAAAAGTATGGCAGTGTCCAAAGAGTCCTAGCTGTGAGTTTGAATTCAATACTAAGGCCATGGCCTTTCAGAGGTTGGGCAATGGACTTGATAAGCCAGGTATTCCCATCATCAAAGGCACATTCATATTTGTTGGTGGCAATAGATTACTTCACAAAATGGCTAGAAGTAATTCCATTAAAAGTTATCACTCAAATTTAGGTTATTGAATTCCTTAAGAAGAATGTGATCCATAGGTTTGGTTTGCCTCAGTCAATCAAGGAACTATGTTCAATGGAGATGAGATGAGGGAGTTTGCCACAGAGCATGGCATTCAAATCTTATATTCTTCTCCTTACTATGCTCAAGCAAATAAGCAGGCTGAAGCAACAAACAAAATTGTGAAGAATACATTGGAAAGAATTATTGAGGATAATCCTGGGGATTGGCATAATCTATTATCTGAGGTATTGTGGGTCTACAGAAATTCTAGGAAAAATAGTATAGGAACAACTCCATATGAGTTTGTGTATAGACATGATGTTGTACTCCCCTCAAAAGTTACTGTGAGGTCCAATCGACTAACTCAACAGTTGAACATCCCAATGGATGAATATAGTGAAGCCATGTCAATTGAGTTACAAGATTTAGAAGAAAATAGGATCTCTGCTTTCAATCATTTGATAGCACAAAAGAAAAAGGTAGAGAGAAGTTATAACAAGAAAGTGAAGCACAAAGTGTTCTCTAAAGGAGAATTAGTTTGGAAAACTATTTTGCCTCTTGGAACAAAAAGCCCAAAGTATGGAAAATGGTTTCCTAATTGGGAGGGACCCTTTAAAGTTTTCAAGGTCCTTAAATGAGGAGCATATCATCTTGCATCCTTAAAGGGAGAACCACATAGAAGAATAATCAATGGAAAATACTTAAAGAAATACTACCCTACCATGTGGGAAAACATGAGATAAGAAAACCAAACACATGCACATACATAAATAATGTTCTATTAAAGGACTATCAGGAATGTACAAGTTAGAAACAAATACACGATTTTAGTGTTTTTGAAAATAGAAAACAAAATTGTTCCAGGCTTGTAGGACATCCCTATGTTTAGACTTGCTCTGTTGAAGATTAGCTTGAGCTGAATTGATACTAGCAGGACCATTTTCTGCTTGAGTCAGCAAGTCTTGCATATTGTTCTTGATTTGGTTTGTTCTTCCTTGAGGAGGGCCTTTTTGGCTCTAACTTGTGCTAACTGAACCTCCAAGTGGGCTTCTTCCGCTGAGAAGGTTGTCTTGAGTAATGGTGTCTTGGAAGGCATGAGAGGCATCAGTCAGAGAAGCAGCCACTGACTTCAATTGGTTGACTTGAGCCTTGTTGGCTTCTAACTCAGCATGATGCTTGATGATGGCTGAGATGTGTTAAGGGAGACCATCCAAGAAGCTTTGAAAAGCTTGAGCTTGATCTGGGTTGAATAGTCTTGGAACCTGTGTTTGAATAGATTCAAAACACTTGGTGAGTTTTGAAGCCTTTGAGAGGACCAGTTCATCAAGGGATTGGCTGAGCAATTGAAGAAAATGGTCTACTATTTCATGCTCATTTGGGGATAGTTGGTTAAGTCTCTCTTCAAAACTCAGGTCAATGATTGACTGTTGAAGGTTGAAGGCTCCTAATAGCAAAGTCTCAATAGTAGGTTGGGAGGAAGTAACGATAGGAGTTAAATCAATCTAAATGGACAAATCAAAAATGATAAATTAAAGAAAGTAGTAACTTCACTTTATGAGTTAAATGTGATAGAGCTACCTCCATTTGAGATGTAGTTTCAGTGGTAGACCCTATCAGGGAAGTTGTTACTAAATTGTCCCATTTGTGTGGACTGTGAGGTGAAGTTGTTTGTACACCCATTTCGGCAGTTGTGAGAGCATGGGATATACGTCCTTAGAGGTTAGGGTGCATTTGAAGAAATTGAAGAAAATGAGTAATGTTTTGGAAGTTATCTCTTGTTGAGGGCCAACAGAAAAAGTAATTGGTTATTCCAAACCAGTAGTTTCAGTTGCAACAACTGGTGGTATGATATTGGGGGTAATATCAATAGCACTTTGGCCAGTTTCAGTCTCAATGCATTGTTGGCCTGAGTTGTATTGGAAAAGACATAAGGGATGTGTCGAGAAGAGAAAGATTAGAGGCAGAAGAAGAAGGAACAAGCCTGGTGGAAGGTTGTGATGCTAACTTGAGTGGTATAAACATCCTCAATAGCGTCATGCCTACTTTACTCTTAAGCTTGTTTACTCTTAGGAGAAGCCATGTTGGTAGGTTGCTGATTTTCATTGGAAGTGGCTTCCAAGTCAATAATAAGGGTCTCTCTTAGTTGTTCTTCTCTAGCTAGGGGTGCATTCATGGTTGTATTATCTGTCTTTCACCCTTTGGTTCATTCATAATGTCATCTATCTTGGGGAAATCAAAGATCCCAGTTGAACCAAGGGCAACACCTCTGACAGAGAAGACAAGTAGGTCCCCAAAAGCTATACTAGGAGGAATACCAGTAAGCAAAGAGCCAAGTGAGGCTAACGGATTTTCTTTGACTTGTTGGGGAGGGTGTTTATGTTGGTTCTCTTGGTCTTCTGAACTAGTTAAAGATGAGATGAGCCTCTTTCTTTTTCTCTGACAAAACAAAGCAATGTCAGTCAGTCATGAGTATGTACCAGCAAAGAATACTTAAGTGAAAAGTAAAGCAAGTAGTCGAAACTTGGTACTGTACTTCATTAGTCTTTGTTGGACTCTAGCTAATAGGTTTTTGAATTAGGGGGCCAAAGATTTGGATGATATACATAGCCCAATCTGATGAAGATAAATAAGAAGAAGGGCTAATAGTAAGCTGAAGAGTTGGTTTAGAAATGGCAACTGGAGGAATGATTCTTCTGGAGGAATGGCTTATAAGGAATGAAAGAGGCACAAGAAGTATCTATTGGGTTTCTCTTGGTCTTTTTGGTCTGAACCACCTTCTCTTTGCCTTTTGAGTTTGGCTTTTAAGTTGCAATGGTTCAATGACCAATGGCATAGGATATGTGAAGGTGATATCATTAGTGGAATAAAGAAAATAGAAAACAGAAAACAAAAAGCATGCATGAGACAAGAAAGGTTAAAAGACTAACCAATAACTCTTTCTACTCATTTTCTATTATCTAGATGAAGATCCTAGAGGCAGCTAGCTAGGCTTTTATGGAAAATGATCGCACTCATGAGAGACCATCACTCTTGAAACCTCCTAAAGGCATAGGAAGTAATGTTGTAGAAGTAGAAACTGAACTTGTCAAACAGTTGCTGGTTTTCAGTCAAGATAGCTTCAGCATCTACCCTCTTTTTAAACTGGTCCCTGAATCCAACATACTCATGCATGAAATAAGGGCAAGAGAGGACTTGAATCAGTCCAAATTGTCTGGCCCATTGGTAGGGATTATAGCTTTCAAAACTGCAATTGGACTTCTTATTAGTGGAAATGGAACCCTCAACTAGGATATGCCTAGAGGTAAGGACTTGAGCCCAAAAATCCTTTTGTTTGTTCCTTAAGGTGTCACCTAAGGTTTGTGGGTCAATATGAATGTAGATGAGTCCAAAAGAGGTGAAATGAAAATCATGAAAAGGAATGAACAAAGCTGGTTTTCTGTCAATGAGAAGCTCATAAAAAGTGGTGAAGGCCTTGGTAAATGTCATGTTAGAAGATGGTTGAAAAGAAAGAAACTGTTCAACATAACTATCACAAGGGGATGAATATGGTGTCTGTTAGGCAAGTCTGATCTCAGAGTCTAGGCACCCCATTTTTGACCGCCCTTACGGCTTGAATGTCATCGCTTGCACACCCAATGATGAGCGTATATGCTTGTCAAGTGCTCGAAGCCCTCAGCGAAATGCCATAGCTTTGAGCCATTCAAACCCTACACCCCTGTTGCCTTGTTTTTGGTCCAAACCTTGGATTTGCAAGCTTGCAACCTCTGGTGGCCTGCCGGCCACTTCTAGGGGCTGTCGGCCATCACTCTTTGTTGCCGGCCATTGATGTGGCCTGTCGGCCACCCACCAATATGTTTTGCAGATATTTTGTAACAGTTGTGCCAGCTGTTTGTATAGATGCTTGCATCTGCTCCCATGTGTATGGTTGGATGTTTTTGAGGGAATTGCATGTTTGTCTATATATAGAGGGCCTCCCCTTTTGCTTTGGGGTAGGAAAAATTTTAGAAAAAAATTGGAGCAAAATTTTTCCTCTCTCTTTGCAATTCTCTCTCTCTCTTGCAAATTTCTTAACTTTTGCCTATATACTCTTCACTTTTGCCTATACACTCTTCACCTTTGCCTATACATTCTTAACCAAACCTCTTCATCTTTGAGCTGAGGTATCTTTGAGCCTTGTTTGAGCTCTTGAGGGTGTGTTTGTCTTGTTTTATTGCTTGAAAGTGATCTCCTCTTCAAGAGGTATAAAGCTTTGCCTTTTTACTTGTTGTATTTACTCTTTTTCTTACTATTTTCCAACTGTTTTTGGGTTGTAAAAACTCTGTATTTTTGGGTTGAAACTTGGGTTTTAAGGCCAATAAAGGTTGAGGGGTGGTTCACCCTTCCTTACACCTTGCTCTCAAGGCCTTTACTCTTGTGTTTCCCACCTTTACACTACCTATTTTTGAGCTTTTAAGCACTAATTTTCAAAGTTATTTCAATGGCTAAAATCATGTATTGAAGTCCAAAATTGGAGGGGCTAGCCTCCCCTCCTTGTGTTTTGCTTGGTCGCCTCGCATGATCCATGTTTTAGCTTATTATTCTAGCCATTTTTGTTTTAATTCTAGCATATTTTAGGACTTATTTAGGATTGTTTTAGGATTGTTTTAAGTGATTGTTACATTTGAGCTTTGTTTAGCATGCTTGTAGTGTAATTATCCCCATGAGTTTGATGTTTTAGGTCTTAGACACCATCTTATTTGAGTTGATAGTGTTTATTTATGGCTTTCCATACTTGTGATCACTTTTAATCACATCTGTAACCTCCCTCATTTCTTGGCTTTTGTTTTGCTTTGAAAGTGGTTTCAAACTACTAGTTTGTTTGAGCATGAGATTGAGATGTCATGCTTAATGGTTTAATCCCTTTGGGAGTTCATTACCAACTGTATGATGTCTCTTTCATGCCCAAAGTAACTCTTGGTTTGTGCCCCCTTTCCATTAGAGGACTTAAATTCACCTTTGGACTCAATTGACTACAGAATGGATAGTAATTTAAAAAGGAATAATAAAATTGATGCTAAAAAAAGGTGCAAGATAATAACTTGTTTGCATTCAATTGGATGTTAATTGAACCCTTGAGTCTTGAGTCGTTTCATACTCATTAGTGATGAAAATGGTTCAAGATTCATTGTCAACTACTTCCCTTGATCTTTCATGATAGGGAGGTGGTTTTGAGAGTCTTGTTTTGTTACATTTATTGAACTTACACACTTGGTTCATAAGCTATCATGCAATGAAATTGCATCCATTGGGGGTTTAAGAATCAAGCTTACTGCTCCTTTGAGCTGTTCAAATGATAAGGAGATGAGTTGTGCCAACAAACCGTTGAGAATACCTTGTCCTGCTCTGTTTGCTCTCTGTTGCAGAATAGTTAATTAATTCGGTTTGTAATAATTAGTTAAGTAGTTTAGCTAATTATTCATTTGAGTTTGTAATAGTTAATTAATTAGCTTAGTTTTAATTAGTTAGCTAGTTAGTTCATTCGGACTCTCCTTGGTGAGAGCGTAATGTTGTAATAATGTGTATGTCTTCCAACCCCACGTCTTTCTCCTTTTTATTTAACAGCTTATGATGGTTAGATTAAGGCATCATGTTTTGTTTA